TTTTGGAAGAAAAGCTGCTGGGTTTTGTAACCAGCTCTAAGACGGTGAAACTACCTTTCTCACCGACCTAGTCAGGAAAGGGGATAGAAGGATCCCTAAGCAAGAAGGCTAAAGACTCCTACTGTTCTTATTGAAACTCTAGTGGTTTTTCAGGAAGAAATGCTTCTCAATTAAATGTTTGTCTTTGGTCAATTTCCAGGGCCCTGAAAATTGTGATTTTTTTTTAACACATTTGCTCAGTTTTATGCATATCTTTTTTTCACTGACATCTTCATGTCCGCAAAACCAGGAGTCAGCCCCGCAATCCCTGCCTCATCCCTGTTTTTGATACTTATATTGTATCTTTATTTAAAAGTACATATTCATTACTACTCTCTTATAACAATTATTTATTCTTAGTGCTAAAGGTAAATATATATTCAACACTTACCCCTAGCCTTTATGTGAATGTCTCTTCAGTTTGAAGTATATTCTATTGGAGAATCCTCAGGAAGTGTTCATGGGGCAATATTCCCTGAGTTCTTGCATGATTCTAACATGTTTTTTATAGTCTTCATATTAAAGACTGAATGTAATATCCTCAACTCATATTTTCTTTCCTTGAGTATATTCGATATGTTACTATATTATTTTCTGACATAAAGAATTGCTGTCCAAAAGTTAATAACAATTTGATTTTCTTTCCCCAGAACTGACTTTGTTTAATACTTTTATAAGAAAATGCTTAATGTCCATTCTGAGACTATTTTCCTACTTTTGCAGTATAATCTTCTTTTTTTTTTTTAATGTTGAGCCTTCTTCTTTTAATTAATTTATTTTTATTTTTGGCTGTGTTGGGTCTTCGTTTCTGTGCGAGGGCTTTCTCTAGTTGTGGCAAGCGGGGGTCCACTCTTCATTGCAGTGCACGGGCCTCTCACTATAGCGGCCTCTCTTGTTGCAGAGCACAGGCTCCAGACGCGCAGGCTCAGTAGTTGTGGCTCACAGGCCCAGTTGCTCCGCGACATGTGGGATCTTCCCAGACCAGGGCTCAAACCCGTGTCCCCTGCATTAGCAGGCGGACTCTCAACCACTGCACCACCAGGGAAGCCCTGCAGTATAATCTTTTAATATGTATTTTCTAGTCATTTTATTTTAAGAAATTGTACTTGAATTACAATTTTCAGTATTTTTTCTGCCTATTGTTTATTTCCTTGAGTATCTTCTATTAAACATACTTTTTATCTTCTTTGCCGGTCTCTTTCTTTGAATACCTTTTACCTCTTTTTTCTTTTAAAATTCATTATTTAACTTATTTCATTTTAAAATTTCCCCCGTTCTATTTTTTAAATTCCTTTTAATGCATTAGCTTTTGTGTTAATATGTTCTTGGTTTTGTTCTAGTTTGCTCTTAATTTCTGAAATGATTTTCAAAACTTATTATTTCCAACCCTTTCCTGAATCCTCTCACTTATCTTTTACAAACTTTCTTCTCTCCAATTGACTCATTTACCAGTCTTTCTAAATTTTTTCATAGCTTATGTCATTTTCTTTATTTCTTTTAGCTCATTTTGAATAAGTAGGCTACAGTTTTTATTTATTTTGAAGTCATGTCTTTCTAATATGCTGTTATTGTTGTAGGGATGTTACTTTGTTCTTTTTTTTTCTTATGGTATCTTTACATGTGATTCTACCCCATTTCTTTTCTATTGCTCGATCTAAGTATATTTAAGTTAAATGGATTTTGATTTTTATTATGGAAGAGTGGGGCAGGCTATCTTTTCTAGAGTCTTCAGTTTCTCTAGAGCTCTCTTCTGTCATGTTCAAGGTAAATTATATGCCACTGTACTTTGTGAGATGTACTTCCTTTCCTCCTATCCCTCACTTTTATCTAAATTGCCTCTTTGCTTTCTCCTGTTGGGCCTGTCCTGTTTAATTTGGATTCTACTCCCAGGGATTCCTTCTTAGTATGGGATATGTCTGAAAAGTCCCCTCTGCTCTAGCACTGACAAGCCTTTTCTTCTTTCCC